AATCAAATCTTTTGCATTAACTCAATCAAATCAAATCACTTTCTGCTTTAGAAATATGGTTGGCGTAAGTATAAGTCAGTCATGATTGACGTTAAACTACTAGAATATGTGTATGCCCCCGTTACAACACATGGACATTTATCTAGTTGTAAGTTAATTGCCATGTCCAACGCTTCATGGATTGCCATGTCCAATTAGCTACTTGTAAGTTAATTGCCATTTCCAACGATTTATGGTTGGTGTATGGAACCAGCACAGCGCATCTCCTCCTCGCGCAACGCATCTCCTCCTCTCCTTGCGCCGTCCCCGCGGGCGGACGGGGGGAGCCCAGATCTGCCACCCCTCGTCCCGGGCAAAGCCCGCTCGGCCTAGGCGGCGGCGAGGCCTTCTTCTCCTCCTGCCCGAGGATGGCAGTGCGGGATGCTTTCTTCTAGTGGCGGCAAGGCGCGGCCGTGGGGCGCGGTGGCGCGACGGCACGGGCTGGCGGCGGTGGCTGCTGGTCGTACGTGGCGTCGTCCTCTCCTGGGCCGGCGGCGGGGGTCTGATGTAGGGCTCTCCGGTGGCGCGGCTGCGGCTTGCGGTCGGCCCTGCTGCTCGCGCGGCGCGGCTGCTGGCTGGTCAGGCGGCGGCACCTTGGAGCCTACTTCCAGTCCTCGGTGGAGATGGCGGCGATCCGTACACCAGACTTGGTGGAGGTTCTTTGAACAGATCTGGGTGAAAACCTTGCGCTCGGCTAGATGACAAAGCCGGCGATGGCGGCGCTCTTCTGTGTCGTTCTCTTCTTGAATACATCGCTCTGGAGAAGTTCCAGACCTCTATCTATTACCTCTGGGGGGAAACCGTAGGTCGGTAGATCGGATGACGGCGGCGCTCTTGCGTCGTTTCCCCCTTGGGGCGTCAGTCTTGGAGGTGTGCATGGGCTCGAGGGACCAGCAGACAACACCTTTGGTGGAGCGGTGTTTCATCTTACGCATCGACGACTGTGGATCTCGGCGGCGTGGCGCAGTGCAGTCTCGGCGTTCGACGTGTGTAGACGGACTCGCGCAGGAGGATGGCGCTGTCTGGCGTCATGGTGGCGTCGATGGCAGACCTGGCAAGGTTGTGGCGTTAGTATCTGCTCTGAAGATGGACCGGTGGAAGACGGCGGCGGTGGCTTGTGAGAGTGTGCCGGACTAGCGTGTGCCGCAGACCAGGTATATGGCTTGGTTGGGGCCTCCGGTTTTAGATGATAAGCTTAGGTGCGAGGTCTGTTTGGTATTAGGCTCGGACTATCGGCACCCCTTCATCAAGTGGATAGAAGTAATGACAGATGTTGCCAAGATGTGACTTCAGACTTACTCATGTACTACTTTGTGAATAATTAATAAAATAGTTACATGCATTGTCGAGATGCAGATGCCGAAGATGGCCCTCCTTTTCAAAAAAAAAAAATGAAACCAGCGCAGCTTTGAGAGCATGTTCAGTGCTTTGTGGAGACCGTTGTATCCTACTAGCAACAACGCCATGTCCAACGCTTCATGGACAGGTTGGAGCGCAAGCGTCGCCGCAACCTGGTGTTGTACGGCCCGAGCTCAGAAGTGTATTGCTCCCTCCTATGCATCATCCCTCGCACATTAAGTTCATCCGCTAGCTGTTCCATATTGATATACTAGGACGATCTAGCTAGTAATATTAAGATGTTGTGAGACCATTAGTCCTAAAATGTATGTATTCATATATGCACGCATGCAGGGAGCGCAACAAAGCCATCGTTCTCCCACATGTCCAGATCACCCTTCGCCATTACAATTTGAACAACCCGGTAATAGATCATTACCCTGCCTGGTTGTTTGAACAAGTTTTGTTGGATATTAGACTAGAAAATATTCTTTTTGCTATTTGACATGTTTGTTTGACGGGCCTTACTATATCTTCCTATGCTTTCCTTGTGCTCTATGTTTCAGGGTGCCGAGTTCGAGCCTGTCAGTCCTATGTCATGCAACCGTGTCGGTTTCAGGGGTGAGATTTGGTTTCACTTCAACTTTTTAGCTCGCCGCCGCCACGAAAAGCACAACTTCTGGGCTCGCGGGAGGGTTGTTCCAGAACCAGATACCTCTGAGAAATAAGGCTGAGCTACACTATGACCGCTTCGGCAAACCAGTTGTCGAAACATGCATCATATTGGGTGGGTAACTGTACAATTAACTACTTGAATTATTCTAACATATGTTGATTCCTGCATTTGTCCTAGTTTTCTGCTAGCTGTGTAGTACTCCCTCCGACTTAATTTTAATTTAAAAAACATGGCCATACAAATTTTGTCGAAAGTCATATGGTGCATGAATGGTTCGACCAAATTTGTAGGAACGCCCATCAACAACTACAATATTAAATAGATATAATATGAAATTGTTGTTTATTGTACATGTTATGATACTAATTTGGCATTGCAATTTTTGATATTTTTTCGTATAAATGCAGTCAAACTTTGCACCATTTGACTTCAGACATAATTCATACTCGCACTTTTCAAGCATGGAGGGAGTATTATTTTCTCGAAGAGGCTAACTAGTACTCTCTTCGTCCCATAATATAAAAGCATTTTTTACACTAGAGGGAGTAGTTTTATTTTTGTAAGTAAGGGATACTAGCAGTTTATAAATTTATGAATTCCATGTCTCCGTACGTCCTGGTTGATCAAAGAAAACAAAGTTCTACTTTCACTTGTTTGCTCTACTTTGCATGAGAACCTTCAACGCATAACCTTAAGAGCAACCAGTACCCTCCGGAGGGTAGTTCTTAAAAAAAGGCTACCAAGGGTTGGCTGCTTTTCCTTTTCAATTGTATACATGCCCCCACGGTTTGGCTCTAGCATTTCATGACATTACACTGATAATGCATTATTCTCTTGTTAAACCTATTCTCTTGCCGGTTGCTAGTAATTAAACTAGTATCATCTGTTTGGGCTTTCCATTAGTCGACCAGATTCTCAGTCCCGGGATCTCTGAATTCTCGTTTTCAGATATCCTCATTGTGCACCTAATATCCTTGCCGATACATGTTGCAAGATATCTCCTCAATATAACTTTTGCATAACCAACTGGCTGCACGCATAACAGGACGTAAACACAATTGTACATGCAATATCTAGTCCATACGATCCAACAAATTGGTGACTACTGAGTCAAATACCATTATGTATTTTGATGGTAAACATAGTGTGTAGTCAGTGTCTCCCTTTGAGAGCATGCTCAGTGCTCCGTGGAGACCGTTGTATTCTACTAGCAACAACTCCATGTCCAACGCTTCATGGACAGGTTGGAGCGGAAGCGTCGCCGCAACATGGTGTTGTACGGCCCGCAGCTCAGAAGTGTATTGCTCCCTCCTATAC